GGGCCCAAGAAATAGCATCCCGCGTCGGGCCGGACGGAGAGCGCCGCGCACAGCGAGGGGCGAAGAAGAAAAAGCTCGGCGAACAGCTGTGTATATCCTATCACCGCCCCTGCCACCCACGGCGTGAGCCTCGCTCGCCGGAAGGAGGCGGATGGCGGTGGCTTCAAGGGAGAGACGCAAAGCAGCGCGCACAGCCCGCTCTGCTGGAAGCGGGAGTGGCGGCGGCGGCGGCGGCGGTGGCGGGAGCACGCCCATGGCGCGGAGCTCGACCATGAAATCGAGGCCCGCGGCATGCAAACGCTCGATTCCGTCGACGGTGCCACCTGGTGGCCGCATCACCATCGGCTGCGTGGTAAGCTGGAGCTGGCTGGGACCGCGCCAGGTAATCGCAAACGCCGGCTCGCCTGCCCGACTCGCCGTGCGCATGAGAGACCGCTCCAGCCTCTGCGCGCCATCCGCCGTAGCGACTGCTTGCACCTCCAGCATCCCGATAGAGACGTGCAGCCCGGCAGCCACATCGCCTTCTGCAACGGTGGGCGGGTGTGTGACGCACAGCGAAGTGAGGCGAAGCTCGATGAGATCTGCCGCATCGTCGCTCAGCGCGAGGGAGACCGGCCCGCCCTCCACGCGGGCTCCGGCCAGGCTAGCCCCGCAAAGCGCGTCGAGCACGGCTGGCGGAGGAGATGCCACGGGCGGGGCGAGGGCCACCTCGTCGGCCTCGGCAGCGGCCGCCGCCGCTAGCGCTGCCCCCAGCTCCCGCGACAGCGCATCCATGTCCGAGTGGAGAGTCCACAGCGTGGGAAGCAGCGAACGGCCCACTGGTAGACACACCGACACGGCGCCAAACACCAGCCGCGGGGGCGACGCGAGGGCGAGACGTAGCAACGATGGTGCGCCGCCCTCCACCGTGGGAGCTGGCGCGACGCTCACGCGCACCGTCGCCTCGGCTGCCCGCGCGGCTTCCTGCGCTGCTGCGAGCATCGTCTCGCCGCCATACTCCTGTTGCTGCGCCGGCTCGAGCGCCACCAAGGCGCCGGCTCCGACGAGCTGCGGGGCGGTTACGGCCACGCGCACAAGAGAGACTCGCGCTTCGATAGCTGCGCCCACGCGCGGCCCCGCCTTGGCGCCAACGCCGCCAATCTGCGGCTCGAGTGGCGCACCGCTCACCGCGAGGCTGAGCGGCCCCGCCTCGAGCTGCAGCAACTGCTGCGCGCTCGACTCGAGGACCAACCTCGCGCCATCTAACCGCGCCTCAAACTCGAGCCGTGCGGCCGCGGCGGTGAGCGCTGGGAGCAACCGCCTGGGCGGAGGCGCGGGTCCAGCGAGCGCCGCCGCCTCCATGCTGCGAAGCGCCTCGCCCTGATGGCTCTGTTGCCGCAAGGCGTGGCGCAAAGCCTTGCGACCCGTCCTGCGGTCGGCGGCGGCGAGGTTGACCGCGATGGTGGCGGCGGCGATCGCCTCGGGCGTGATGCACAGCTCGGCGTGCGAGAGCGAGGCGCGCGCACGGAGGCGATCCCCGGGGGCGGCGGCGAGGCTGGCGTCGAGGCCGAGCGTCAGGTCGAGCGGCGCGAGAAGGAGGCAGCGGCTGCTCGTCCCCGCCTGACCGGCCAGCGGCAGCACCGAAAGCGGCGCCCTCCATGCACTCAGCCGCAGGAGCTCCGCCTGCGCCCGCCCCACCTCGAGGTCAAAGCAGGCCAAGCTCCCGCACGCGCGGCTCACCGCCACCCCCGGCCCTCGCGCCGCCTCGTCGCCCCCGGCCGCAGGAGCGGCACGCCCTAGCCGTGCGCACGTCACCAGCCGCTCCGCTCGCAAGCAGACTGCGCGCGAGCCGGCCGAAGCGGGCTCGAGCAGCAGCAGCCACACCGGCGGGGTCAGCCGCGCGCTGAGCTCCACACTGAGGCCCGATTCGGGACGCATCGAGCCCACCGCACGGCGCAAGACCCGTGCAGCGTCGTCGCCGCGCGAGCTCGCACCGCGGCCGCCGCGGCCGCGGGCGGCGCTGCTCGCCCCAACCGCCTCCTCCCCCCTCCCTGGCAGCTCGAGCGGGCCGCCGCCCACGTGCGAGGCCGTCGCGAGGCCGGCGGCGACGAGCGCACCGACGCGGCTGGCGGTGGCGTGGTTGGCGAGGAGCTGCAGCTGCTCCGAGTTGTGTGCCGAGACGCGCAAATGCGACGCCCCGTCATCGCCGCCGTCGGGAGGCTCCCACTGCCAGCTCGCGCTCAGCTGCCAGCGCGAGCCGCGCCGCGCGTCGTCCGACCGCTCGACGAGCAACGGGAGCCACTCGCGCACGCCCGCCGCCACGAAAGCGGCGCGCGTGTCCACCTCGAGCGGCGGCATGAGTGGCCGGCTCTCCTCGGCCGGAACGTGCATGAGCGAGGATGCAAGGGGCACGCCGCCGCCGCCGCCGCCCGCCGCGCGGCCGACGAGCTCGACCTCGAGCGTCTTGAAGAAAGCGTCGGCCGAGTAGGCTGCGCTCGCGACGCCAAAGTTCAGCCCGCACGAGGTCAGGGTCGCCTGCAGCGCCGCCGGACCCGCCTGCGTGCTGCCACCGGCGGCGTCGGGGTCAGCGTCCGCGGCGAGCGCCTCTGACGGCGCGTGCAGCACGAGCACGAGCTCGGAGATCAGGAGGCGGCCGTGCAAAGAGAGCCGCTCCGACAGCCTCTGCGGCTCCTCGTCGCCCTCCTCGAGTAGCTCGGCCAGCGCACGCCTTTGCTCATCGCTCAGCACATCGTCCCGGCCGCCTCGTGCCGCCCCGGCGGCCTGGGCGGGCGGAGCGGAACTGCTCTTCCAACCGCTCCACCAGCCGCCGCCCCCGCCGCCACTACCACCGCCACCGCTGCCGCTACCGCTGCCACCGCTGCCGCTACCACCGCCACCGCTGCCGCTACCGCTGCCACCGCTGCCGCTGCTGCCGCCGCCCGCAGCGGCGCCGACAGCCGCGCCGTCGCTGCCGCCGTGGTTGCCCTTGCCGCCGCCCTCTCCGCCGCTGCCCGCCGCGCCAGCGACCTCTGCGAGCTGGTCGAAGAGGTGCAGCTCGCGCGCGGATAGCGCAGAGCGCAGCTGCGAGAAGGAAACCTCCTCGGCGTCGCTCAGCCCGCACCCGGCCGCGAGCTGCTTGGCGCGCAAAGCGACGTATGCGCGCCGCTGCCTTGCCCGCGCCGCGATCTGCGCCCACGTGAAGGGCTCGTCGCGCGACCGGATCGCCCAGCGGACGGCGTCGGTCGCGTACCGCCACCAGGCGCGAGGGTGCGACGATGGGCGGCAGCCGAGCCGCGGCCGGAAGCGCCGATGCGCCTCGAGCCGCTCGAAGGCGCCGAGGTAGGCGGCGCAAGCGGCGAGGTGCGCCACGTCCGCCAGCTGCAGTCGCAGCGTGACGCGGCCGGCCTCGAGGCTCGCGGTGTGGCGGGGGACGGCCGCTCCGCCCGCTCGCTGGCCCTCCCTCCGGCCCTCCCTCTCGCCCTCCCTCGCAAGCGGCACGCCTCCGAGCGGGGCGGTCGACACCTCGAGCGCGAAGGAGAGCGGGTCGAGGAGGCAGGCGTACGCGTTGAGCCGCATCGCCGCCGGAGCGTCGACGGCGAGGCCTATAGCGAGGGTGCGAGATGCTCCGCCGCACGCCCTCCTTCTTTTGCCGCCCGAGCGTCGGCCGCGGGGCGGCCGGACGACTCGAGCCGGGAGCGAAGCTCGGCGGCGGTGAGGCGGCCGCGAGAGGGACTGGGCGGCAGCGCCGCCGCAGGCAGCACGTAGGCGCACAGGGCGCACACCAGCGCCTCGCGCTGTCGAAACGGCTCCTCGTCGGCCGACTGCTTGACCGCAGCTTGCGGCTCGTTGGCCTGCGCCGCGGGACAGACTCGACTGAGCGCGGCGCGAGGCGTGGCGCGAGGAAGGGTGGGCGGCAGGCAGAGACACCGAGTCGACGTGCGCCGGATGGAACCAGAGCGAGTCCATCGCGACCTCGACGCCGAAGGGGACGGAGGAGTGCGAGTAGTCCTCGAGGCGGACCACCGCCGACGTCACGACCACCTGCAGGTTGTGCAGTACCCGCTCCATCAGCCGGTCGACCCAGCCGCTCTTGTCGGCCCCGCCCGCCTCCGGCGAAGGAGCGATCGTGCCCGCCAGCGCCTGCAGCTCCCGCTCCTTGCGCGCAGCCAAGCGGCTCGCCTCGAGCGGCTCGTCCCACTCATCCTCACACACGGGCGCGACCAGGAGCGAGAGGCGGTGCACGCGGATCACGACGCTCTCGGTGCGCAGCTTGCTCCACGGCACTGAAATCTCCAGCTCTCCCACCTCTCCTCCTCGCACCGTCACAGGCAGCCCGAGGCTGTCGAACACGTCCGGCCGCAGCTCGACGCCGCGAATAACCATCGTGCCGCCGCTAAGGTCTAGCTTGCGCTCATTCTTCTTCACGTAGGGACCGATCAGCCGCTCGAGCAGCGCCTCGGCGACCCAGGAGACGACCATTCTTTCAATTCAATCCGTCGGCTCTTCGTTCATGCATGCATGCCCCGGTTGGCCGGATTTCAAGATTTGCGGCGGCACGTCTGCTGACAGTCGATGACAGGTCTCCCATCCCTCCCTTGGCTTGTATGTTTTCTTTCTTTCTTTTGTCGATGACAGGTGACCTGCGCATCATTACTTAGGTATATTGTTGGCAAATCAAGACACAGAGCTCACACAGAATCACAGCGGGAGGAAAGCGGCGAGTCGCAATTCCTGGGGTCCTTGTGGCGGGCCAACCTGTCCAGAGAGGCATGGATGCCAATCTGGGGTCTTATTCTTCGCCTCGATGGTCTTCGTGGTGTTCTTTTAGTAAAACTAGCAGGCTGGCTCGCTAGTGGAAAAGGTTTACTGCAAGGTCCGTATGGCTCACCGTGTAGTCGGCCTTTCTTTCTTTCTGCCGCGTTCGAGAGCCCTGCTGCTCGATGTTTTCTTTCTTGTGTGTTGTTTCCGTCGAGCGAGAGGTGTGAGAGGGGGGAAGGGGAGAGGGAGGGAGGGAGCGAGCGAGCGAGCGAGCGAGAGAGAGAGTGTGAGAGAGAGAGAGAGAGAGAGAGAGATTGCCAGAACAGGTGTGTATTCTTTTGCTTGGGCGGGGAGCATCCCGGTTTCTTTTTTGAAGAAGTTGCTTCAAGTTCGCTTCGGCAGTCCGGATCACAAGCCACAGCTGTGTCGTGCTCAATGACCTCTTCTCGCCCGCCGTACGCGGTGATCGACGCCTCTTTCTTCGCGTCGCCGTCGCCTTCTCACTCGCTGGGCGCCAGCGGCGGCGTTCCACCTGCCGACCGTCTCGATGCGCTGCCCTGTGAGCTCCGCGAGAGCATCTTCGCCCAACTGTCGCCCTCCTCCCTGGATGCGCTCGCTCGTGCAGGCGATCGGCAGGCAGCAGCGGCACCGGCGTGGCGCGCGTGCAGCGCCCAGCGTCAGCCCAGCGCCGACTGCGACGCTGCTCTGCCCGAGAGCTTGCTCCGGCCGTGTCTGGTGCGCCAGAGTAGAAGAGGTCACCAACCAGTCTCGGGCTGGAGTAATGGAAATCTCTGCGCAAGAACAGTAGATCGTTGGGGTAGAGACAGTAGATTAAGACTGGAGATCCTAGCGGATCTCTCACACGGACACGCCCAAGTCTCGCCAGTAGATCCCTCCTGTCCGGTTCCCCATTCAAGACTAAAGAACGAAGATTGAGATTGTGGATTGCAGATCGCTGAGCAACACGGGCCGAAAATGTGGGAGATAGGAGATGGAGAATGCAGATTGTAGATCCTAGCGCCCAGCCATCCGCCCCAGATGTGAGATCGAAGATTGAAAATGGAGGTCGTAGATTGCTGCCGGCGGCGACAGTGGCCAAGTAGAAGATTGGAGAAATGGTTGGGTAGTAGGGCTAGAGGGTCGCTCTACACTTAGCCTCTGCAGCGAGCGAGCGCTCAACTTAGCCCCCACACGGAGCCGGGCTCGGACTTAGACGCTGTATGGTCGGGGGCCATGAACTTAGACGACATAAGGCCAACTCCGGGCAAAACCCGGGTATACCTGAAAAGCCTCCAGGTTTACCCGAAAGAAATACCTGGACGCGTCCCACCAACGTATGCCGCGTATGCCGCGCACGACGCCATATCGCCTTCTCCCAGGGCCAGTGCGCTACTTGCGGCGCGCAACGCCTGCTCAAGTACCCCCCCCCACCATGTGCTGCCGCTATGCGTGCCTTAAGGCGGCTGCGGCGAAGCGGCGGGCGCGGCATGCCGATGGCA